GCTAGAAATTATATTAATTATTAAGATCAAGAGAAAAATAAAATTATTTTTTCTTCTTCAAAAAATATTTTATAATCGTGGCATCATAAATTCTATATCTATATTACATATAAAATGAGAAATATAATATAATTCTTATAAGAAATTAAATATATATTATATCTAATTCATATCATTTATATTTCTAAATCGAATAGAATTTAATTAATTCATGAAAAAAAATATTATTTCAGATAGAAAAAAATAATATCTAAAATTATTCATAATTATAGTATCCTATTTCAAAATAGAATAATTAAATATTTATATGAATTCGAAATCCGCACAAAATTTCTGCTAAGAAAATATTTTTTTATTTTATAAATGAACCTATAATTCCAACTCCAAAAAAAGAAAACCGAATTCCATAAATTCAAGATATTGTAAATTTCAATGAATATTTATTAATATTTAATAAAACTCAATCTTATAGAATTCAATTTTTTTATCGATTATATATATAGATTCAATCGATAATCCTAAATTAGCAGACCATTTAATATGCCGAACGATAAAATTCCTCTATGACCCAATCCAACATCTATTTCAATATCTATTTTGATTTTTTTCCAGCTCAAAGACAATTCGAGATTTTCATTCAGAATAATGCCCTATAAGGCCTGAACCCCAGATCCGAAAATCTCAGAACCCGAAACACCGAAACCGAAACCCAAAGACCCTACTGCCGCACTGAAGCCGAAAAGCCTTAAGCTCTAAACGCTACCCAGCCGACCACGATCGTGACCTCCCGCTCCGGCCGGGTCCTGTCAAGGGCTCAGCCTGGAAAAAACTGAATTCGATGGCATGACATCAAACCTAAACCCTAAACCCTAAACCCTAAACCATCTTCTTTCGAACTGTCTTTTCGTGTGCTCGATCTTGCGATGTTCAACCCCAGACATATAGCCAAGCCCAGGGCAAGCAAGGCCGGCTCTGTTGTCGGCTTTAGGGTTCAGGGTTTAGGGTTTTGCGGGGTTTAGGGTTTAGGGTTTCGGGTTTTAGGGTTTAGGGTTTAGGTGGGGGGTTTAGGGTTTAGGGTTTCAGGTCTTGGGGATCTGTGGTAAGCCGGAGCGATCCGGGCTGTCAATCCCAAAGGCAAAGCCGCGCGGGCAAGGCTCATCGAGCACCCTATCGAATTGCACCATACGGGCAGTGCATAAAGGCATGCAGCTCTCTCTGTCACCATGTGTAGTACAACAGAAGAGGTGAAACCTGGCCGGAACATCGACTAACGACTCTGCTCGGCTGAAGTTCTGCTGCACATCGATGGTCCTAAACCTGCAGCGGCGTCTGTTGTGGATTAAGGCAAGAGCCACCTGACATCTCGGTGCAGAGAACATCGGCAACAGGCTTCATACATCTCCATCTGCAACCTGGACGATCAACCTGGGCACACAAAAAACGTCAGGTGCAGGGGGCAAGCTTTAGGACTCCATCCACAAAACCCAAAAGGAAAGCCGGAAACCTAAACACCACATGAAGGCCAGGTCAGAGCCGGCTTGGCTCTCATGGGGATACATGCGACCCAGGAAACACCTCAATGAAAGATCTCGGTGGCCGGATAGGGTTTGGAGGTTTAGGCCCTAAGCCGTGAATTATAGGTCAAGCAGGATTTGAAGTGGCAGAAAACATGAAGCAAAAAGCAGCTACCCAAAGGATATCTTGGATTCTGAGCGAGCAAAGACATCTTCAAACAATGAGCATGGCATATGCGAATATTGTCCAAGAGCGGAACGATTCACAAGTATATTTATACGAACGCGATGGAAGACAAACCGGACGAGAATGTCGCCGAATGCGATACGTCGCAGAGTCGCAGTTAGAACGACGGAACATGGTACCTCGCCAACCTTGCCGGACTGTAAACCTAAACGCCAGATGTCGCGCAACGTCTGGAAGGAACGCGAAGAGAACCGAAAAACCTGACTGCTACAAAGTGAACATGATGGACAAGCAAACTGTAGCAGAACAACACAAAATGCGGCACATCAGCGGACAATATACATGCTAGCGAGCACGACTGCAATAGACTACATCAAGCATCAGCAGCCATACGTAAACTGTGCATACCGCACAGAACACCTGAACTACGCCTGTTTAAACGGGCTGAGCGCTGGGTAGCTGCAGCCCGAGCGCGAAATCCCCAAAAAATCCGCAGCCTTGCGCCCTAAACCCGAAACAGTCTGCTCATGGTGATCGATCGGAGATGCTGGATCGATTTCCGACATTGGCCGCTCCGCAGTTATTGATGTCGATTTTGGTCGATAGTTTTGCCATGGAGAAAAACTCATGCAAAGAATGGCCACCACCGCCATCATTGTGCTGTATCTATGACCCTTATGACCTTGATCATTAAGCTCAGAAGGATAATCACTTGGGAAGGTCTCGATGTGGATATTACCGTCAAGGTGGCAAGAAGCCTTCAATTGCTCACGGCCTGTCTTCCAACAACCCTAAACCTTAAACCCTAAAGCCTTAACCCTGAACCCCCCCTTCAGCCCGGTTCCAAAAGAAGAACCTTCCCAAAACGGTTCGGTCAAAACTTACTGGCACCCAAACCCTTGACAATTGTAAAAACCGTTTTAGGGTTCAAGATCTAAGGATCAAAGGTTTCTGCGCAGCTTGGGGGATTTCGGGAGAACCGGGAAGCCATGTAAGGATCCGGCATCAAAGCATCATCTGCTCGTGTGAAGGCCTGCCAACGCGTGCACGCTTGAACCTCTCGTCAGTTTCATTGACACTGTGTGTGCACTAATGCAGGGGCCTGAATAATTAGAATAGGGTTTTGGGGTATATTATGCCAACATCAGAATCACGCCGCGAGGCAAACTCGGGCACGCAGAACTTTCCCTGATGCCGTGGTTATGGGCAAAACAAGTAAACACGAATAGACAGCAAAACAAGAAACGCCGATGCATGCAGTCTATCTAATGTACACAGAAAGTGACAAATCATATACGACACCGTTTAACATGTCAGCAACCGTATACACCTATACGTACAAGCAAGCAAGCAGGCAGGCAAGCAAGCAAGCAAGCAAGCAGACACAAAAACAAACAACACACACACAAGCAAACGAACAAACGAACAAGCAAACAAACAAACAAGCACACAGACACACATACATACATGCAAGCAAACAAAGAACCACACGCAAACAAAAAAAAAACATACAAACAGACAAACCAAACACGAACAAAGAAAACACAACCAAAGAAACATGTATGCATGTATGTATGTATGCAATACGGTGACATACAATACGTGTGTATATATATATATATATGTAAAGGTGTACTAAGGTAATGACAATACATACTTACATACATACATACATACATACATACATACATACATACATACATACATACACACATACACACATATATACATACATACATACATACATACATACATACATACATACATACATACATACATACATACATACATACATACACACAAACATACAGACACGCATAATAATAAGTTATCGAGCTGACCACATACACAGAGCTATGCTCACGTAGATCGTGCCTCCCAGGCCCATTCGCCTGTTGTCGGGGCACGCTTGGACTTGGGGACTTAGCCAGGGGTACAAACACGGGTAACCAAGTTTGGGGTTTGGGTTTGGGGTTTAGGGTCTAGGGTTTATAGGGTTTATAGGGTTTAGGGTTTCGGGTATAGGGTTGGGGTTTAGGGTTTAGGGTTCAGCCAGGGTGCAAGGTTTCGGGGTTAGGCCCTCGAAGGGTTTTATTTCTCTTGGTTGGCTGCTGAACACCCTTCCCAAAACGTAAAGTTCCAGCCTCCGGGAAAAAGAATATTACAGACCAAGACAATACAGCGTTAGGAGCCAATCCACAGAAGTGAAACTTGTAGATAACTAGTGCCTCAGCTGGAAATGCCCTGGCATGCCTTGTCTTAGAAACATCTTTCCAAGGCGAACAGAAGAAAACCTTGGAAAGCATAACCTCTTGACTGAAGCAGACGCTTTGTTTGGATAGGATGGTCGTTGGCGCTACGGGGCTGTGCTTGGATGCGGCGGTATGTTAGATTCAAGAGGTGTCTAGTCATACACGTCGAGTCTCGAACGCCGACAAGTCGAGTATAACCCACCCACCCAACCACCGACACGCTGTTTCAGGGCACCCCGGCGCCCAAAAAGACACAAAAATCAAAACAACACCCACATGTTGCGGGCTTAGAAAACAAGAGGGGCTTAATGCAGGGCCTAAATAGCGAGACCCTGAAAATGAAACACACCGAAAGAACCCCAGACCTGCAAACTAAATCCCTAACCTGAGGCCCATGAAGAACAAACTCTAAACCCTAAGCCCTAAAAACCCTAACCCTACCGATCTTCTACCTTGTTTCGAATGCATTGCAATCCTCACACCCAAACGAGCCATTAGGGTTTTAGGGTTTAGGCCATCCTTTCGGGAGAAATTGCCGGGACCTCCCCGAAACCTAAACCCTATGGGGCCTAAGCCAAGACCCTGATACCTAGTAGGCGGCCACCAACCTAAGCCCTGAATCCTAAACAGGAGCCACGCTCTGAACCTTCCTGCCTGCTAGACTCTAAACCCTCAACTAAACTCTAAACCCTAAAACCTAAACCCTCAAATCCCTGAACCCCTAAACCAAAAAAACCCGAGCACTTTTCGTCATCCAGGGGCGAAAGAGCGGCGCTCTGATATCCCAAGGCCACTGAAAGGCAAAGGGGCTTTGGCGTTTAGGGCTTTAGTAGGGTTTAGGAACCCTAGAACCCTAAGCCCTAGAACCCTAAACCCTAGGGTTTAGGGCATCAGGGCTTTAGGAAAGTAGGGTTTAGGAACCCTAGAACCCTAAACCCTAGGGTTTTAGGGCGTCAGGGCTTTAGGAAAGTGGGGCTCTTCGGGCTTTTGGGGCTTCCGCCTTTCTGGCTTCATCGCTTTCGGGGTTTCGAGCTGAGCGTTTGGGGCTTTTGGGATGAGTCCAGTATCTTTTCTTGAAATTTTGGTGTGCAGGTTTGGAGTTGTTGAGATGTTAGGGCCTTCGGGTTTTAGGGTGGGGGGGGGGGGGTATAGGCCAGCTTGGAACCTCGATTAGCTCGAAAATGCTCGAAGCCTGGGATTCTAAACTCTAAACCCTCTAGGTTGTTTTTGTTTAAGGGCCTTTTCTGTTGCTTGCGCTCCAAAGCCCATGTTGGGCAGGCTTTTCGTCTACATTACGTAGTCACTCAAGAGGGTTTAGGGTTTAGGTACTCCTTTCGAAGCGCCTTTGCATCCAGCAGCCGCACTAGCTGGGATCTACAACTTTAAAACGACGGAAAGCTGGTGGCTTAGGGGTTTAGAGTTTAGGGTTTAGGGGTTTAGGGTCCAGGGTTTTGGGGTTTAGGGACTTAGGGTTTATATAGGGTTTAGGGGCTTGAAGCCGCCAGCTTTCACGCCTAAACATCGAGCCTTAAGGCGCGAAGCCCTGAACCTAAATGAGAACGTCACCTGTTCTCCGACATGGTCTGCAAATGCCTGCGATGGCTCTTCCGGACAATTTGCGGTCGGCCTGATCCATGCAGCACGGCAAGTGGATCATGGCCTTCTGGGCAGTGCTCGGTGTTGCTCCCGCGCTCTCTTCGATGAAATGCCGGTCCTCCTTGAATCGCTACTTCCCACTGAACCTTCCGACTCAGCTGACCGGGCAGTCAGGCAATGATTCGAAGGGATCGTCTGCCTCGGAATTAGTATGAATCCACTATCGTGCGTGTTGATAGTTTTATGATGATGTATTTTAGGTGCCGCCGCTGACAAAGACTGCCAGCGTTGTGGTTGCAGTGCTGTAGCAGTACTGGCCATAGAAATGCAACACCAACCTGTCAGCCACTACCCTCCTCGTTCTCATCGGGTTCTTTTGTGCGGCCAATCAAGCATAATCCTAACGAAATCGCAAAAAAAGGCCGCAAGTGCAAGTCCAAAGGGCGAAACTCGACCCTGCTGCACCCTGCAGCTGAATACTGCCATCGTAGGTCCAGGTGAGTGAGAGGGTGCTCGCATTGGTCGCCAATGGGTTGTAGGTCTGCCTCACGTAGCAGCAGCTTGGCAAGCTAACTCTGGGTAGTTCTCTAAATAGGGTTTAGGGACACAGCTTTGTATTGCAACACAGTCTGTGCTCAAAAATTCACATCCTTTAAAACAATTCTGGGTCGTAGTTGTGGGGCTCCGAAAAGTACTTATGAATACGACCTCTATAGAAACCATCAGGGAAAGTTTAAAGTTCCCACAGTGCCACCTAGAATTTAATGAAACAGTCACAGCAGTCCGTCCGCACAGGTTACTCAAGCTCCTGGTACGAGGCGCGCCCTGCCACACGCGCATGGGTCAAGTGCTTGACGGATTAGGTAATATACACGGTTGATGATATAAATCCTGCCTACCCATAATAAGGAATATACCATAATTCCTGTAACTTAGGCTCCTTAAGGTAATGCAGGATGTATGTCATCAACAGTAGCAATCCCCTCTTGCGGGAACAAGTTCCCTAAACCCCATGGGACCCTTCGGAACTCTGCGAGACCCGCATAAGTACCATTTAGGGTTTAGGGTTTAGGGTTTAGGGTTTAGGACCATATCACACCCTTGAAAGCCACGATTCCCAGGTTGCGCAACAGGGCCCAACCAAATCCCAAAACCCTAAACCCTAAACCCTTAACCCCAGTCAAGGTACAAAGAAGCGACTCCCACTTGTACTTCCCGGCCAGCGAACTTCGGGTCGAACAAGTACCTCTGCTTCGCATGAAGGGTGTAGGGGTTTAGGGTTTAGGGTTTAGGGTTTAGGGTTTAGGGTTTAGGGGTTTAGGGGTTTAGGGTTTAGGGTTTACGATTGCAGACTAAGTTTCGACATCGAGGTATTACGCTCCCTTCCTGTGTTCTAGGGTTCAGGCTTCTGCTAGATGGGCTTACTGTTTCGGTCCCAGGGTTTACGGCTTGTAAACAGGTGCTTGAAGTCGCTACAGTCCCAACAGGACCACTTCTCCTCCGCGGGGCTCCCTTGGTCTTCTAAAGGTTAGGGTTTAGGGTTCTAGTGCTTAGGGTTTAGGGGTTTAGGGGTTTAACAACTCAAACTGGCACAATTCGGGCCGCAGTGCGGTGCGAACTTCGGGGGTGCACGACGTCTTCCTATAGTCCCTCGCCAGTCCGTCGCCCGCAATCGTGCTCTCGCCACGACTATGTTAATAGATGTTCATCGTTTGACAGCGCCGCTCGTGTCAGGTTGCTGCCTCTAATCGTGCTGCTGCTACAGCTCCGTGCGCAGTCCGTGCTTGCTCCCACCGCAACGACCGTGCATCTTTGCGCCGTGACTCGCATTTCCACCTCCGAAAAAAGCGGGCGGTGTGCATGCAATCATGGAGTAGTGTGTGGAATCTCATCTGTGTTCTTCGCACGGTTCCTGCACGTGTGGCTGCTACGGGCTCGTTCACTATGCAGGGGCTTTATGCTGTTGCTTTAAGCATGGTCTGAGAGGTGCTGCAAGAGTGTGCTGTGGAGGAACCCTTCAAGGATCCCTTCAAGGAACCCTGAAAGGACTCTTGGAGAATCCCTGACAGGAGTCCTAGAGGAATCCTTGAAGCATCCCTTAACGGAGCCCTGAAGGACCCCTGTACAGAGGCAGACCAGACTCCTGAAAACTTAGATTCCACGACACAGCAAGAGAAAGGATTGCTGCGTCCCAGTTGCTTCGTCCATTGCTTATGCATCGCCATGGACAGTAGATAGCCGGTGGAATTCAGTGGGCTGTCGTGAGGCGGAAGCAGCAGCAACCTTCCGGCAGGAGATAACTTGGATGTCTCATCCAAGACTTGGTGAGCTGCTTCGATGATTTGCTTGCGCTGCTCAAGGTCGGTGTAGTCCAGGATACACGTGCCAACTACTTCTGCAATCCAGTTCCTGGGTTGTTCCTTGATGAAGAAATCCCTCTCAAGCCCCGCAACCTCAATAGATAAACTATACCCAGAAACTATCGCAATCGCTTATATACTCTTAAACTTGAAGCTTAATACAGCTGTACAGAAACTGCCGCAATTCTTTGCCTAGGATCATCGAGTATGCGTAATGTACGGTATCGCCGTGAACTGAGCAGTCCCTTGCCAACTTGTGGAAATGCACGGGCGCCATGTAGTCCAACACGTTCGACCATGACCTTAGTTCCCAAAACCCTAAACCCTAAACCCTAAACTAGCATAACGACTCAAGGCACGAGCAGCGCTGAGCCTCGAGACTGGGATCAAGGTTTAGGGTTTAGGGTTTGGGGTTTAGGGTTAAAGTTTTGAGCTTGAAGGTAACCCTGAACCCTAAACCCTAAATAACCCTAAATAACTCTAAATCAACCCTATAGAACCCGAAATAACCCTAATTAAGCCCGAAAATGAACCATAGAACAACCCTAGATGAACCCTGAATGAAGCCCAAAACCCTAAACCCTAAACCCTAAACCCTAAACCCTAAACCCTAAACCCTAACTTTAGGGTCTGGAGCCTCGAGGGTTGGAGTGTCGGGTCGTCGCATGACGGCCCGGGGGTCCC